CGGACAAGTTGAAAAATACGTCGGTACCATGAAACAGGCGTTGAGAAAACTTTGCCAAGAACAATCCCCTAAAAGTTTGGAAGCTGACTTAATAGTATATTTCGTACCTAGGGCCGAAAATGAGGTTTTGCCGGCTCGAGATAGTTTTTAAGTTCGAGACGAAGTCGAGAACTTAAATCGATCGAGAGCTGCAAAACCATTTCGGTCCGTGGTACGAACACTATTTTTCACCACACTTTACCCTATTACCACTATTCACCACTATAATAATGCACACTGATAGTCAACACAACTACAACTTTAAGGTTATGTGAAGAAATAATTTGAGGAATCAGCAAAAATAAAAATAAATAGTTGCTAGGCAACGGTGACAATAACACAATTCTATTGCAATGCTATGGATTTTGATTGTGTATTTAAAATGCATTCATGTTTTAAGTAAGTAAGCGGACAGCTGATTTTGCGGCCCCGGCCTGTAAAAACCTGCTCGGTCCCCAAATTATGGACAGCTGGCATCGCCAGCAAAACGTAACTTTCGGCCACCAATTAACGTATGTAATACAGCCAAAAACATGATAGTGTGGTGAAAACAACTTTTTATTTAAGTACAGGTTAACACCACACATAACTTCTGGAATGTCACCTTCTGAGTTGTTTTTAGGACGTCAGCTAAGATGTAGGCTATCTTAGATTTAGTTCAACCCCAAAAAGGAAGTCAGATTAAAACAGAAGAGGAAGAAAATAAAGAAGATAAAACAAAAGAGGAAGAGAATAAAGAAGGAGCCACTACTAGCCTAAAAAACTTCAAAATAAATGAACCTGTGTTTTGGGCAGAAACCAGAAACGGAAATGTTGTGTGGAAACCCGGCGTAATCTTGAAGAGACTAGGGCGAAACGTGTGGAAAGTTGAAGGTAACGATAGAAGAATCTTTAAAAAACACGCTGACCAACTAAAGCATAAAAACCTTCTTGAAGACAGGGACAGTAGTTCAATCTCGGCGAGAAGGTGAAGTGTTCGTGCTTTTGGTCTGTATAGAGTTCACATTATTTATTACCATATGTTACATAAAAATAACAAGGTTGTTTACTTTTTGTTGTCAGTTAGTTTTTACATGATTAAAGTCAAGTTTCGTTTTACTAAGTTGTACTTTTTAATTGTATAAGTGAATACACGTTAGAAGGATTGAACGTATCAATGATTAGCATTACACATAGTATAAATAAGTCAACTCTTAGTATGTCTTTTAATTTTATCCAAATGCTGTATTTGTGACACAAAAGCTGAATGCTTACAGCTGTTGAGTTAAACAAATTATTTTATGCCAAAAGCTAGTTTAGAATCTTAGCGTCGGCTTCTAGACTTTTAAAAAATTAAAACTTAATTTCTAAAAAACTGGGACCCTAAACTAAAATTATGGCTTCGACATTCCCTAGTTCTCAAAATGATCTTTCTTTCAACATAAAAATCATGAAAATCCGTCGAGTGGTTGATTCAAAATCGTAAAATAAAAAAACACTGTTTCGTTTTAATATTATAGATAGTAAATAAAAATAAATAATATTCCAATATAGTGAGCAGACAACTGCATTGTAACAACTCCTGTTTGGTTGAGTTCCTATACGCCTTTAACCTATGCCAGCCACCACTGAGTGCACAGCAGTGTTGACACATTAACACGTTCGCTGCGGGCCATCAAACAGCAGGCGTAGCCCCAGTGCGGCGCAGCCCGCAGCGTCGAACAAACCCGATTGCCGGGTGATTGGCTCTCATATTTCGGTATGACGAATAGCAAATAACGTGCGGTGATGTCCTGTTTTATAACAAGAGTCGACGTAGTTCGCTAAACACTCACATATAGCAGCACTGCTTGGAACGTAGCCGGTCCCATCGTATTAACAATTGGAGGGAGAAAGACGGGACAAAAAGTTGATTTTTAAGTTTGCCAGACGGGGATTTTATGGGGAAATTTTACTACCAACCTACAACACAACAAAAAGCAAGTCACCCACTACACGCTAACGTGGAAACATTCTGCAAAGGGTCGTAAACAAACGCACGTGGCGCGCTCGCCCACCCCCATCCCGCCCCCCCTACTGATAACGCGACAAAAATAGAAACCAAGGTCACCACGGTCATTCAACTGTGTCAACGCAGGTGGCTACAAAGTATTAGTTCGAAATATCAAACGGCTGAGCCACAGGAAAATATTGAAGTTCAGGAGGACCCAAGTATCCATATGGATACCGCCGCTTCTACGTGATGGACTCCAGGTATCCATATGGATACCGCCGCACCCAATGTGTTAAACAACAGATTTTCACTAACTCTTATTATCTTATCTCCTATTAATCTCTTATTATATATTTTTTCAAAACCACATCGACTTACAATAGTGTTGAAATCATTTGTCCATAAGTTACATAGATGATATTGAAACATTATCATTACAGTACACAGAATTCTGTAGTTTAGCCATAATAACAGTTCATTATTACACCTGCCAACACTCTTCCAAATATTACATTATTGTCTGTTTCTCTAGAACAATTTATCAATATATATTTTTAGTATTAAAACTAGTAATCCTTTAAACTTAACACGTTCGCTACCGCAATAGTACAAGATTTTTCATTCATATCTGGACCAGCGACGCACATATGCGACGGCTGGTTTCTACCCATAGACTGAGTCATATTAAATTAGTCTAAAGTCGCATATTTGCGTCGGCGTTCCAATGTTATCAAAACGCTTATATCTTTGTAATGGTCTATTTGAAAGTACTGAATTCTCTGCAGTGGTCTACCAGTGATGTCTTTCGCACAACTGCGTCTCTTGGTCTGTGGATATGATGATCGGTGACGCCATATAACAGTTGTAAAAACTGTTCTTTACTTTGCTGCATCACTGTATGTATGCTGCATTATCCTATGTAGCTTTTATATTTGTTCAATTTTTATATATTTGTTCTTGAAAAATATGTTTTTTTTACTTACCGGTACTTTCACCTAAAAACATAACAAAAATGAACCGTCGCATATATGCAACGCTTGGGCTATTTAAAAAAAGTATTATAATTTTCACTATTGTCTTTGCTATAGACCGGGTGTCTCAAATATACAACATTACAAAAGGTTATCAAAAATATATAAAAAACAAGAATATATGATTTACAAACAAGACTGCAGAGTATTACAAAGTAAATGATCACTGTTTAACACATTCGATGCGGCGGGTCCACCGGTGGACCCCGCGCGTCTCAGCTGAGGAGCGGGGTCCACGGGTGGGGGAGCGCGCCATGTCATGTTTATTGTTTCAATGTGAGCTCAGCCATTGTCGGAGAACGTTGTAATCTTTACCAGCCTGTAGCTTATAATGCGAGCTTTATTCTGGTGTAGGTTGGTACAAAAATTGCCCGTAAAATCCCGTCTGGCAATGCTTTTGTCCCGTTTTCGGGGATTTTCTCAGTTCGAGCCGTATTACAAAGACTCTGGTTATTGATCCCAGGCAGTGCTGCTACCTTTGGGTGTTTCAGTGAACTACGTCCACTTTCGGAGTAACGCAGAACAATCACCACTGCTCTTTTGTGATTCGTCTTACTGAGATATTTCAATACCAATAGCGATCGCTGATTCAGTTAGCGCGTCGGGGCTCCGCCCGGGCCTCGCCGCCATTGGCGAGCGCCTGTTTAAAGGTTTCAGCAGCGAATGTGTTAACAGGTCTTCGTCCGTGGTCTGTGTGTACTGTTAACCAAGTGACAGCCAGTCTATGTGTAAGATTAAATTGTATACCACGGTCTGTGGCAATGATCGGGGTAGCGAACGTGTTAATCAAATTGAAACTAGAAAATCACAGCACAGCAGTACCGTTACTGAGTAGGTAGCAGAGATGAGTCACTCAGCCTACCACACTACTCACAATACAACCTACCAGACAAGTGTCACCGATATCCTAGTCAGCGGTTTGTAACCCTGATACATCAGCATTATGTCATGTCAAGCATGTGATTTTTGTGTCACTTACATTCAATACTGGGATTATATATATTCTATAGTAAATATGGTAGTAAAAAAAATGTGTTTTGCCTGTCACTGCCCTTCAGAGGATGGATATACAATAATATCTATGAATTTAATCATCTTTTGTTCTGTGATAAAAAAACTAATAGCCTAGTGATGGGAAATTATTGTGTGTATGTATTTTAAAATGAACCAACAAGTCACTTTCACAAGATTGGTTTGTCAAAGATAGGTATATAGACTCTGGCATAGCAAGAAGAATGATTGTTGGTTGTCACTTGATAGATCAATTACAAAACCAATTACAGCTCAACAACATCAGCCTTATAACAATAGCACATTCTGATGATGTGGCTATTTGTTGGACAGAAAATGAAGCATGACAAGTTTTAAAACAGGAAAGTTACTGGTATACATTTGAATTTACGTGTTACATTTGATAACTAATGTTTATTTCACAAATTTTTCATGAACAACAGCTGTACTGATTTTGCGGTTTATTGTGTTACAAATTATCTTGCCTGCTAATAGATAATTGAATGAACATTGAACAGATACAACGGTATATAAGCATTTTTAATTTGGTACACTAAATGGTTTCGAAAATATAATTCATAAACTTATTACACACAAATTTTCCATAAATTATTTGTCACATGTATTTCACAAAAATCATTCATCAGCAATTGCCGGGTCAGCTAGTAATTAGCAAAATAAGTAACAAGATTGAACTAGGGTTTGGGCAGTTTTACTCACAAAAGAAAGCAGGATAGTGTAATGGGTAAAATGTCTTTGGCATACACTAGTAAACATTGATGTACATTTTATTGTTTTAATCTAAAATAAAACTATTTATCTTGCAAATGTAACTGATTCAAATACATGGTATTCAATTTAAAAGTCCTTGACTGACTCCAATACATATCCAATTTAATTGTGGCTATAGTCTATATTACTTATTATTGTATCTGTCCACCACTCACCACGCTGGGAGTGTCGACTGGGGCATGGTGAGTTATCAGCAGCTGAGCTACATCCATGTAACCTGCCTGGGCAGCGAAGAACAATGCTGTGGTCCCAGTCTGAGAACAAGACAGTCATCACTCATCAGCACAATACAATCAGGCAGTTTAAATTACACTAGCAAATTCAACAGTAAATTATCCTATACATCGTTTTATTCTGATTTTAGGGATATCATCAATTTAGTTAGTAGCCATATATACTGACTTCATGAATTTTGACTTCATTGCTACGATATATAGTCGTGTTAATCCGATCTTGAACTGTCTGACCTTTCAGAATATTTTATCCTACCTGAAGACGACTAAATTGTTTATAATTCCTGTGGGATAACTAACCTTAGCAAGCATCTTACGACAATTCGTTGCCTCTGTCTGTAGTCAGCAGAAAAGTGCCTGTTTTTTGGCACCTGCACTTACTGTGCGTGTACTTCCTAATTGTTTTGGTATGCTACATGCCACATAAATCGTCGACTTAAACCTGCATACCTGTCTTTTACCCCTTTCATCTTCAACAAATGGAGTAACATTTTTTTCTCTATATGACTTTTTTGCTTATTCGACCTTAGTCACTATAAGACTACAAAATCGCGCCACTCATCCTACAGTCATCTCCATTTATACATGGCTTAAAATACCTACATTCCTAAAAAGATTGCCATTTCAGAATAAAGTATTAAATTATTAAACAATGTGAACTAGTTTTTGCCATACTTCACCTCCTCATGTCAGTCTAGCCACAGAGCTTTTTGTCAAGTACTGGTGGATTCCACACTCTCACCCTGTGCGTCTCATCGGGTGTTGGAATTATCGGACAATAAGACAGTGTGTGTCTCTTCGTGGTTTGTAAGTGAATGCTTATTAAAACGTTTTTTTTCTTCTTTTAATTGTTGATTGGTTACAGTTTTAATCCATTAGTAGTATTGTCATTGTGCTGGGCCACAGAGAAGTATTTATGTAACTCTCAATGGCTGGACGTGGAATCTAACAAGTAAAGTATAGGATTGATAGTCCATTTTTGAGCGTAGAAAGAGATGTGAATGTTGAACGTTTAGTGTAAAAACATACAGACAGCGTAGGGTAGCACAATGTAGCGCAATGTAGCGCAGCGCAGCGTAGGGTAGCCGAGCACAGCGTAGTCCAATACACACAGAGAGCGCAGCGTAGCATAGCGCATAGGTTGTAGACGGTATTAATAAGGTACATCAGTATAGAGGATGGCTCTGTCGAATACGGCTATTAGTCTTGTCGAAAATACCTTAGGTGGCAGTTTTTGATTAGTACGAGGAGTGTCGGGCTGCATGAAGTGTGTAAAGGCAGGGACAAACATGGTGAACATCACCACTTACGAGTATTTCCAATCCTTAGGAAACACGAGTCTCGGTTTATGGATTACACAAGAATGTCGACTACAACGTTCGATTACATATTTAGTTTGGTGAAGAATGATTGGGAGAATCTGACAACTAATTGGAGGAGCCCAATTGGCGCAGAAAAGGGACTAGTATTAACTTTAAGCGTGTCTGCACGTAAATGCGCTCCAATACGCTCTGAGAAAAACAAAATAGTTTGTTCCTCGGTTGTACACTACGCCGAAATACGCTACTAGTATGTTATATTCCTCATTTCAGTGCACAATTTAAAACATGTGCTACACTATGCTGTATATGTATGTTTTTCCACTTTAGTGAGGCTTGTAGAATTAAATGTTTTACACCATTTTTACGATTTTGAGGAACTAAAATGAAAGCTGAAATATGTTTTTTTTTATGTACTCAGTCGAAAATTCCTCACGTTTTCAATTCAGTGTGACCTCCTGCTAGGCTAATAAACAAAAATGGTAATAAAAACTGTTTAATTTGTAAATGTTTTAAGATTTAAATGCAGTACAGACCACTCGTCGTGCAGCAGGGTCTGCTCCTTGCTCCAACAACTCCTGAACACACTCCAGGTGACCGTTAGCAGATGACAGGATCAGAGGAGTGGTGCCATCCTGCCAACAGAGGGAAATATAATTAGAAGCAAATATCAATTCTTTGACACCAACACACTCTGAGTTGTATAAGCTGAATATGAATGGAAGGCTTACATTCATATTCAGTACGTATACGTATTCATATTCAGTAGAATGAAGAATGGTGTGAGGCGATCTTTAGCTATGTTACTAACCAAAATCAGCTGTTTCATTAGTAAGGACCATTTATTAAGCCTAACAATCAACGACAGCTGGCAAACAAATAAAACAAAACAGTATTAGCCTACATATAAAATCCAAATATGTATAATCAGGAGGGTGTTTATGGGATTGTAAATACATAACATGTAATCCATAACAGTTTAAAGAAGACTTGGTTTATATTTGTCTGTTTGTTTCGAGAAAAACTCCAAAGATTTCTAAATAAACTGGGCTGGAAATGTATTCAATATTTGTGATATTTAGGCTAAGCTATTTGGTGTAGTTTCATAGGAAATTATAAATGATAAATGAAAGATATCTAGAATATTTTTATAAAATCGTCAATTTATAATTTATAAATTATGAAAATTAAAATGGCTGCCATTTTAAAATTCTGAATGGACCAAGTATATATATACTTTTTTTTCTAAAGATATCTTTTACCTTAACATATCATACCAAGATTCGTCAAGATCGATTTAAACAATCCAAACATTAAAATGTTTAAATGTAAAAATACAAAATGGTGGAAATCTGGTGAATGCAGGGATTAAACAATTGTTACAAGGCCTATTGATTTTTCATTAGTTTGACTCATATTTAAGTACAGTATAATCATTTCTCGGAGTTTTTTTTTTTTTTTTTTTAAGAGGATGACGGCCTCTTTTAACCTTGCATTTGCCCGTCCACATAGACTACAGATCTGTGCGTGGAATGAGCCGGCACAGTATGAAGGTGAACTGTACTGATAAATTTTAGTGGCAGTGACCAGGATCTAACCCACGACATCGCTGCCTTGGGCCCGAAGTCCGTGACGCTACCAACTGAGCCACCGACTCACCAGTTTGGCTGTTTACTTATGGGACATCCTGTATAAATAAAAATATATGCTGTAGTATTATAGTATAGTAGACATATGAATTTGAAAGGATGGTGTTTTGGCCTCTGGAGACATCAAAACAAAAAAGTAATCAAATCAAATCAAATCAAATCAAAAATTCCTTTATTTAGCAAGCGTTCCTCAGTATATACTGCTTTACAGGATAACACTTGTCAATTTACTAATACTATATGTAATACTTTAAGTAATATAGTCACAGATCTAGATCTTACCATGAGACCTAGTAATAGCATTCCCTAAATGGCAAATTCACTAAAAGAGACATCTCAAAGTTGATCAATTTTCACTTTTGTAAATATCTGTTAATTTATAGATGGTTTCTTGGCTATTTAATGTATCAGAGGACTCCTAGCTAGGTGATGATAAAGTAATAGAAAGTAAGATTATTGAGTTACTTTCACATTCTAAAATGGCAGAGCATCCTGTTTGAGCTTGTTGATCAGGTACTTTATTATCATTTAAATTGTCCATCCTTATTACCATAGATGTTTTCATACCGTTTGTGTTTTTGGTAAAATTAACTGAAACATGTATGTCATTTATAGCTATTTTAACCTGCACATGTAACAACTAACTATACACAAAACAGTCCTGCTAAGTTCTGAATTTGTTCACATTTACTATAGTCTTTTGGGAAATTTCCCATATAGAGAATAAGCTACAGTATTACCTTTGCCTTTGACTATTATTACTACAATACAACTATTCAGCATTCAATGGTATTACCATAGGTCAACATGATCGGGCAAAATTTAAGGGAATACTGTATTTAATTGGAAATCCGACCAGGAAAATGGAATTTACATTCCGCTTCCCTGATTGGATTTTCACTTAACATATTCTTTAAAATGTCAGACTTATTCCGAATTTAAAAAACAGCTTTAATGTGTACTTAGATTTGCTGCTACAGGTAAAGTAATAAAGTATGTTTTAGTGAAATGCAATTTTTTTCAATAGCTTACTAGTAAATAAATAAATTTGCTAAATTTGATCAAAATACGAGTATGTTCATAAACAAGCAAACTAAACTTACTGTTTACTTATTCTTCATAAAAATATTACAAGGGAATTTTTTTTTAAGCTTCACAAAATTATTTGGAAATAAATTGCAAAATCTTATGTTTTGAGGGCCATAAATTGGAAAAATAATAACCCCATAAAACCCTGTTCCCATAGTCTGATCCTGCTGGTTTGTGTGAACTCGTTTGAATAATGGCTTAGGTTTACTTGTTTATACGAAATGACATCAAAATGGGAAGATACATTTACTGTACAGTATATAATTTAGAACGTATATTTTAATAGCTTAATTCCTACATGGAAAATTGGATTATATAATCGTAAATATATTTTATCATTATTAGTTTTAACATTTAACGTGATTATGATATCGGATTATTCTCTACACTTACAGATGATCTAATGTTTCTACTGCCAAATATTGCAACTAAAATATGCCCTCGCCAATAAACAATTGAGTGTTCCAATTGCTACAAATCTATTGGTTTCACTAGAACATTTTGTATGTAACCAAACAGATTGTAGCTAACAGCCCCACAAATAAAGGCGATCCTGAAGACTTTGCGCGGAGTCATAGCATGTTATAATAAAAGTCGCACCAAATAATCATAAATAAAAATTGTTAATAGTTAAGGGAACATTTGTTCCTTTTAGAATTACTTATGAAGTGTGATTTCTTCATCAACACTCACACATTACCATAACTGTTAGAAGTTTTAATTAACAACTGTAAGTAATTGGCCAAGTTTAATTGGTTTGGGTAATAAAACATAATAAAGTCTCTCTGTGAAATTTCGTCCTTTTCACATTTCTCTTATATTCAAAGGGAATTTGAAAATGCTAAATTAATTCATTTAAAAACTTATATTTATTATTTTTGTGAGCATGTTTTTACAGATGATGGCCATGTAATATAATTTATACCCCGCCGCAGCAAACCTGCATACTAATCAAATTTCCGTTTGCCTGATTTGATTTTCAATTAAATCTATTCAAATAACATATGGTTTAACGAGTACCTAGGTTTGCTTCATACAGGGAGCGTAATAAAGTGTCTATTTTAGTAAAAGATTAATAGCTTAGTATAAATAGATTTGCCAAGTTTGATCCATATATATCCATGAACAAGCAAACTACAACAGTTTACTTAGTCTCCATAAGAATGACATGGGAATTTTTTATTTACAATTTTCTCCATGACCAATAACCATACAAGAACACTTCAATATACTATATTATTTGGTTTTTTCAAGCTCTTCAAAATGGTCTAGAGAAAATTTGTGAAATTTTATGTTTTGAGGATCAGGGACATCAAAATGAAAAAGTAAATCGGTCCCGGGTCCAAGTCTAACCATGATACCTACGTTGATTAATAGCTTATTCCCTATATGGGAAATTCGCTAATAAATACAAATTGATGAACCAGAATTTAAAAAAATGTATCTTATGAATGTGTGAAATTAGTTATATCAATTATCAATTATTTAAGATGGGGACGACACTATGTGCGTACTTGTTGAATGTACCTACAATAACTATCACCTAACAATTCAGAAGCGTAAAAAAGACCATGACATTAACTATGAGGTGGAGTCAAATGATAAGCTAGAAACAAGTATAGCAACACGAAACAAACAACACACACACAGCTGTTTTATTGTTGAATGAATGCATGTCAGCTGTTTTCAAGGCACGACGGCGGAATGTGGCGGCGTCGGTGCAAAGACCTGCAAGTTGCGTAACGAGTCCAAGTCCAAGTTCATATGATTGTGGCGACTAGCGCCACGTCTGGGGGAAGTGCCTGCTCGCTGGGAGCATATACTTCCGGCCTGCTGTGGGTCCAAGCCCTGGTAGCTCAGCTACCTGTAGACGTCAACGTCGTTCCTGGGGGTTATTCGTTGATCTGGGGGCGGAGCTGCGGAACATCCTCAGCGACCAGGTCCCTGATATGTTCCCACGGAGAAACATCCGCCGTCTCTTCAAGTCTCGCTCGAAGGCCGTCTACGAAGTCTCGGAGAGTTGTCACTGCTGTGGAGTCCCTGATGACGGAGTTCCTCACGTACCAGGGTGAATCTGTCGCCTGCCGAAGAGCCTTGCTCTGGACGACGAGCAGCCTCCGTCTAGCGGTTCTGCAGGTGAGGTGGTACCATGCAGGGGCTGCGTACGTGAGGACAGGCCGAAGCAGGGCCGTGTAGAGTCGGACTCTTGCAGCCGTCGACAACTTCCGTGACTTGAGCAGCGGGCGGATGGCGCCAAGACCTTTCCTGGCGAGGTCGCAGACCCTCTCGACGTGGGGAGTCAGGGTGAGTCGCTGATCCAGCAGGACGCCGAGGTACTTCACCCGGCGCTTCCATGGGATGTCGGCCCCGTCTAGGTGGAGGTGTTGACCATCGTCCTGCCTCCTCGACCTCGTGAAGGAGATGGCCTCACTCTTGTCAGCGTTGACTTTGACTCGCCACTTCGTCAGCCACGGCAGCAACAGGTCCAGCTGTCGCTGGACATACACCCTGGACATCCTCAGGTTGGCGGAGGTGGCAGTGAAGAGCGCATCATCTGCATAGAGCGAGAGCTGCACTCTCGGCGCCAGGGGTATGTCATTGGTGTACCACAGGTAGAGTATCGGCCCGAGAACCGACCCCTGTGGCACACCCGATGAGACTGGCCGTGGTGTGGAGGTCGCCCGTCCAACGGAGACCCTGAAGCGGCGAGCGGTCAGGTAGCTCTTGACGAGCCTGTAGATCGAGCCGGGTAGAGGGGAGGACGCCAGCTTGTAGAGAAGTCCCTCGTGCCAGACCCGGTCGAAGGCTTTGCTCACGTCGATCAGGACTGAGGTCGAGTGGTGCTTCCGTTCCATCGCTCCAGCGATGGTGTTGAGGACCCGCCGCAGCTGGAGGGTGGTGGAGTGGCCCCGCCTGAAGCCGTACTGCTCAGTCCTGATCGAAGAGAAGAACTCCTCGGGGAATCTCGCCAGGATGATCCGCTCCAGCATCTTGGAGAGCACAGGCAGGAGGGAGATCGGCCTGTGGTTCTCGGGGAAGATGTGGTCCTTGCCGGGCTTGGGGATGAGTATGACATTCGCCAGCTTCCAGGTGTCGGGGAAGTGGGCCAGCCTCACGCAGGAGTTGAAGAGGCAGGTGATGACAACAATCACCCAAGCCGGCAGGTTCTTCAGTGCTGGAGTCCCGAGGGAGTCCGGTCCAGGGGCCTTCTTCGGACGGAGTCGAGCGATGTGGCCCTTCACCTCGCTGACGGTCACGTGGGGGATGTCCTCTTCGTCGGAGTCCGGCTCGTAGGTCTCTACGAAGTCGTCCACAACCTCGCAGAAGTCTTCGTCGTAGACGTCCGGGTGTGGGGAAAACTGATCTTCCAGCGAGTCTGCGAAGGTCTCTGCACGGTCTTCGGGCGAGTAGACGAGCCCGCGTCCCCCATGCAGCGGCCTGTTGTGGGTCTTCGTGCCGCGCAGAGCCTTGGCGATCTTCCAGATCCCGTCGTTGGTGTCAGCCTGGCCCTCGACGAAGTCCTCCCACTCCTGGGACCGATGCTCAGCCAGCAGTCGGGAGCACCTCCTGGCCTGCCGGTTGAAGTCCGCCTTCGCTCGAGGGCAGCGGGACTGTTGGTACGCCCTCCTCAGGCGACGTCGCAGGGTGATCTCCTCCCGCAGCCCCTGGGGAAGTGGTGGAGGGGCCCTCGGGTCAACGTCAGAGCTGGCGGCAACCACAGTGTCCTGCAGCAGCGTTGACAGGTCCAGGACTTGCTGGTCGAGCTCCTCTGCCGTCTCAGGTGGCGGGGGAGGCGGTCGAGGGGCGTTGGCCAGGAGGTTGGCGAACTTCGCCCAGTTCACCCTTTTCCTGCGGACCGGAGGGCGGTCGGGGACTCCTCCCTGTGGCAGATCGATGATCACCGGGACGTGGTCGGAGGAGAGGTCGGAGACGACGAAGACTTCGACTGGGCCATCGAACGAGCCAGCCAGACCGATGTCCAGGATGTCAGGCGGGTGTCCAGCACGGGGGTAGTGTGTGGGGTCGGCCGGGGCAACCACGTTGATGTGAGGGTGGGCAGTGAGGTAGCGCCTGAGAGCGGCTCCAGTGAAGTTGCCTCTCCTGCAACCCCAGTCCAGGTGCTTCGCGTTGAGGTCGCCTGCCAGAAGCGCCGGGGTGCCGGGGGGCAGCAGCAAGTCCAGGAGTCCGGGGTCGAGGCGTCTCGCTGGGGGGTTGTAGGCAGAGGAGACTTCCAGCTCTGCACCGTCATGCTGGAGGGCGATGGTCGTCACTTCGATGCCAGGCGGGAGGTTCCTGACGATCGGCCTGTGGGTGACCCGACGATGAACCAGTATCGCCGAGCCACCACTGGGACGTTGTTGCAGAGGCCTGTCTGTCCGGTGAGTGTAGTAGTTTCGGACGTTGAACCTGTCCCCACCGCGCAGATGCGTCTCTTGGATGAGGGCAACGTCAACGTCCATGTCAGTGAGGAGTTGTGTTAGCTCGTAGCGTCTGTCGGCAAGCCCGTCGGCGTTCCACGTGAGGATGCGAAGTCTACGCATGATGTTGGGTCAACTGGTCAACAAGTCGTTCGACGACGACCAACATGCTCCTCAGCGTGGAGATGAGTTGAGCCAGCTCAGACTGCTGCGACGGGCTCCTAGACGACTGGGCCGGGGTTGAGGCCGGCTCGATAGGCTGGGCAGGGCGGCTGGGCTGCGGGGCAGGGCTGCTGGGCTGCGGGGCTGGGCTGCTGGGCTGCGGGGCTGGGCTGCTGGGCTGCCGGGCAGGGCCGCTGGGCTGGCGAGGTGGGACTTCCAGGCGAGGGCGGGGAGTTCGCCTCACTCGAGGGTTCGGGGTCTCGGCCGGGGCGGCGGACTGCTCCACAGGAGGGGTGGGTGTTCGGGGTCTCGGGCCGGAAGCTCTGCCGCGGTTGTCCGGGTTCCGAGGAGCTCGACGACGTCTTCTGCGCTGAGTCCGGAAGCCCTCGTCATCGACCTCGGGAGCCCCAGGCGCCTCTTCGTCCACTGGGTCAGGTCTCGGAGCCGGTGGGTCGACCCGGCGCGGTTGACGGCCCGACGGTGCCGTGGACGATTTCGCCGCAGCCGCGTACGAAGCCCGTTGCAGATTCTTGTAGCAAGTGCAGCCCCTGTAGTTGGCAGTGTGGGCCTCACCACAGTTGCAGCACTTCGCCTGGGCTGCCGGCTCCTTAGGACACTCGGTCGCTGGATGGGTGTCCCCGCAGCGGACACAGCGGACCTGGCGGTGGCACTGGCCCGATCCGTGGCCGAAGCCCTGGCAACGGTGACATTGAATGGGTCCGTTGGGCCGCTTGTATTGCCGTACCTCCACCTTGCAATAAAAGGCTCGCCTTATTTCGTAAACAGTGGACGGCAGGGAGTATCCTTCCGTCCTGCGGATCGTGAGGAGCCAGAGGCCAGTCGGCATTCCTCGGCGAGTCTTCATCATTTTGACCTCGGATATGTCGAAATCATGAAATTCCGCCATAATCTCGTCTGGTGCTAGCGTCGGCGGCAGGCCCTTTACCACCACCTTGAGCAGCCGCTCGGTGCGAAGGGCGAAGGTGTGGAACGGCACTCGCTCTTGTTGCAGATATCGCTGGACGGCGCGGAAGTGGGGTACGGTGTCCACCCTGATCCGCAGATTTTTCCCCGTGCATGAGGCGTCGAATTGGCCACCAACCAGTTGGCCGATGGCGACGGCGTGGGCAGGCCAGCTCCGCGGTATGTCCAGGAGGATAGGCGGAGGCCGTGGCTCGTTCCGCGTCGGGGCCGGATCATCCTCCATGTCGGAGTCAGCGGGTGTCTGGAAGGTGTCTCGGCCGGTTTTGCGGGCCTTCCGCTCGGCAGGAGGAGTCGGAGACGCTCGCCTCTTGTTGGTGGTCTGGTGGCCTTGAGAAACGCCGTTTTCTCCAGACGACGGGCAGGGGTTCGCCTGGCAACTGTTCCCCTCGCCGCCAGTGAAGACGAACGGGCCTCCGCCAGGGGTGGCAGTGGCGCACCGTTGATCGACACCCGCTCGGGTCACCGCAGCAGCGGTCTTCCCCCAGGCACTGATCTCCGTCCCCGTGAGGGGAAGTCCCGGGGGGGTGGAGTTGCTGGGCCGGGCGGCGACAGAGTTAGAGGGCCGGGCGGCGGCTAGGCCGGGGTGAGCTCCGCCGGGGGCTGGAGACATCTGGTGGCCTTGACTAAGGCCGTTTTTCTGGTCCGCGGGTGGTTGTGAAGCGGAGCTCCACACAGAAGCTGGGGGTCGGTCCGTGTCCGAAGTCGAGTCCATGGGCGATTGCAGGGTCGTAGTCGGGCCCGACGCGCGAGGCAGGGCTGCAGAGCCAGAAGGCAAAGCAGCGGGCGCATCGGGGTGGCCTTGTAAAAGGCCGTTTTGCGGCAGGTCGCAGCTCACAGTGAGAAACGTCACCGGAGGGGTCCCTGAAGTTCCGCCTGTATCCTCTTCTTCCATCACGAGTTAGAGATGTCCAATCTGGATGGTAAATATCAACATGGCACTTTCTCTGTATTCTTCCACAACAAGAATCCTACTTGTGCCTTGTGCGCGTCTTATTGTCCAAAGTATTCTGACGTGCAACTCGTAAATATGTTGTATATTATGTGATTTTAACGATGCATTTTAACATTTTAACAAATGCATATTAGGACCTAAAATGTTATTTGCGTTCGCGTTCCATCGTTACGGTCTAAAAATCATTTTTTACGAGGAATTATTTTTATAAATTTAATATCTACTCTATATTTAGTATTTTATGTTCTTAATCATTTTATGGTGCTAGTTCGAAAACAAGCATTTTCATACGTAACATTTCTCCACAAGGACTTTTACTTTTTATCCAGACAGAGAGAAAGTAATTAATGTTTTGATGATATGAATATTTATTATTCAAATTTATGCCTCTTTACGATACATACTTATTGACACTTCATAATAAAGTTAGTATTTGAAGGAGTCCTTTAATCTATGCTAGCAGCGACAAGTTTGCGTGGCCAAGTCTCCGCTGGGTTCAGCAGCTGAGAGATTACAGTGCTCGTAGTAATCCGAAGGTACAATATTGGATCCGGAGAAAAGTCGGTAAAATTGTGATGGTCCTAAACTGTATCCAGCCAAGGGCTGTCAACGATTGTTGGGGTTTTAATAAACGGTCCTTCCTTGTTAATGAAATGACCCACAATCGTAGTACAATGTCTCCGCCGCAGCAACCCTGCAGATTGTGGTTATTCCGTGTCACCAACGGTAAGAGATCCTCCCCTAAAGGGAAATTCACCAAAACTACATACAATATTAGACTATACCATTATTTGTCTACACTCATTCTGAATTGAGCTGTAAATATGTAAGTGTCTAGTAATTACAGCCTTACACTCATCAAGTGCCATCTCGACCCATATGCAATAGGTGGCTTTTCGAGATTAGTGATGGAATATAAATTGAACAGCTCATTGTTTGTGTTATTATTCTACAACATAAGGAAGTGGGATTTACACCAAGCTCTATATTTCACGAATCTGAAAATCAGTGGTGCGTGCGATGGAGACTTAAAACTTATGTTTATTTCTTAAACACAGCCATGACGACATTAGTCACTTTGCAAGTAAATAGAGAAGTCTCATGAATATGAATATGACACAGACACAAACAGTATGATTCTGCCATATGATCATACCATAAACATGGCGCTCAACTTCATAGATGAACTACACAATGACGCACTGCTGAATCGACTATAGCTGTAGATTGGTTGTAGCTTTCGTAAGGGTACTGAAACTATTATAAGCCTCTTACCTTGTCCCGACAGTCGACATGGACTTTCCCACTGTCCAAGAGTCTGCGGATGACCTTGAGGTCGCCGTTCACGGCCGCTAGGTGGAGGCGGACGTCGCTCGGGGTCTCCTTCTGTAACAATACTGACTTGTTACCAAACATTCTGCTGGGGTCACGGTGAGCCTATAACTGGTTGTGCTTTGAATTTGAAGAGAGGCGGAATATATGGTCAAAACAACAACAAAGTTCGTAATATCCTGAAAAATGTAATACTGTAGACAAAAGGTTTCGAATTAATTTAATTAAAGAGGTTAGCGGCTTCTTTTAGCCTTAGATTTTGGCATCCACAAGGGCCTGTGACCTTATCCATCAAAGCAAGGGATGGGCCATTACAATACAACAGTGAACTACATTAACAACTAACTGATAAGATTTAGTTAGCTGGCATCAGGACCAGGACACGTCGCTGTCGCTGCCCTAGATTCGCAGTTCGTCGCGCTACGACCCACAGTACAGACTTAACCTGTGAACTGTCAATTACCCATCATTTTTGCTCAAGTTATCGCGCTAAAGGGCACATATATATATGTGTGTGTGTGAATTTGAACGGAGGGTGTTTTGGCCTCTGGGGACCTCAAAACGAAAAAGTAAATCGGTCCCAGGTCCAGGTCTTACCATGAGTACTACGGTAATAGCTTATTCCCTATATGGGAAATTCGCTAAAAGGAATATTTGATTTGATTTAATGAAGGACCGAATTCCCTAACTTAGCTGTCTATAAATATGACCACATAGTTTTCAATTTATAATTTGTATAGGTTTTTGATAACATCACACTATCTAAAATAACCCACCGCAGCATACCTGCAGGTGAATTGCCATTTTTCAGATCAGATTTTCACTAAACTATTTCCTTAAACAAACATCACAGTAATCCTTTATAAAATCATGGTCAATTACTGTATAATAATAGGCAATAGCTATCTAAAAGATATGCCCTAGTCTATAAAGTATATAGAGTAGATTGAACTTATCCACGATAATTCAATAATATAATATAAATTCATGAAAACTTTTACAAGATGGAATCAAACAGACAATTACAGTATTTCTATAAATATATATTTGAAGCGGTCCCGGGACTAGGTCTTACCGAACCCCCGAAGACTACACCGCTAAAAGCAGCTCTCGTGCTAATGCCCCGGATGATCGCACTTATCTCACTCATTATCGTCACATCATAGTCGCAGTCATGATCAACTTCCGCCGGAAGAAAGAAGACCGCGTCCCGCGTCGTGCCGATCAGCGACTTGCTAGACCTCACACAGTGTATGATTAGTTTAAATGGATCATATAGCATTATATAACCTTCACACGCAATCTACGGATTAATTTAGACGCTTCGACTCCCGTGCAAGCGTGTGTGTCCATGTAAACCCTAGAACTTATAGTACTGTAGTGGAAATATAAATTAAGATTATAAATTATATATCGATGTGAGTGGTTTTAAAACATTAGTTATCTCAAATGTGCAAGACAAGAATATACCCACATATTATTTCCTTGTTTAAAAAGCCATATATATATTTAGGACCATCAAAATGTGTAAACTAAAATTTATTAAAATAATTTAAAGTAAAAAGTTAACTTTTAATATACACGTAGTTTACCAATTCGACTGTCGACTATGGGACACGTGTGCTGTTTCTCTCTCTCTGTCTCTCTCTGTCAAGTGCCGTAAAAGAGATCATTTACGAATCTCTCCCCTCACTAAAACCTCCCTCTATCCCTTAGCTTTGTTTACAGCTTTTGTATCTTCTATGTGCACTTGCCTCCCAACAATCTATATCAAAGCTGCAAATGATAAATGATCTGACGATTGTAAATTTATCTGTCGTGTCGGAGTCGGGCAAAAGGTGCGACCTGAATGTGCTGTGTAATAGGCCTACTGTCAGCAAACAAATGCCATCAAATAAATAAGAACAATGTAAATGAGTTTTGAAACTGTTTATGTAATATAGCTTGTAACCAATATAATGGGTCGAAATATCTCCATTCTGAATCTTTACTTTGTAAAATGAGAGTTATGAGAGACATTTTAGTACAAGAGGTGCATGTGTAATTGGAATTATCTTGGTGGTTTACTGAAAAAAGGATTTTTCTGTTGATTCAATACTTATTTCCTTAAGCATAACTGAGCTTTTGGTGTGTGGTTTCTTGTTCGACCGAGGTAAATAACTATCCATTATTGCTAAATAGATGGAGACAAATTCACTACGTGTACAAACTGTATTGCTGACTTGTTTTCCTTGTTGGTTGGAGAGTTTTGAATGGCCTAGTAAATATATCTGATTAGTTTATCCAAGGCCACACTAAAAACACGTTTATCACTGTGCAAAACGCATGTAGGAAGGTTAATATCAGCTAAGATATCTAGACTCGATCTTAGGCGTGTTAGCTACTGTGATTTGTGGTAAAAATTGCGTATGCGTAATTTCCTCATTTCACTTCATTGTACCGTAATTGAAGACATAACTTTATTTTAATTTCAAATTCAATTTATAGGTCTGTGCAAGCAGTTCAAAACTACTGTACAAAACACCATACCTTGGCATGAAAAATTCAAATGGCCGTTATAAGAAAAGGCGCGCGAGACTGACGATAATGTCGCAGCATGTATAGGGCGACACGGTGACAATGGAGCCGTTACTGTAGTTACTGACACAACTGTTGTAGTGGTCACACTTCTGACCAATGGCCCAAGTACTACGACTCTAAGTTCACGTTTACTAGTCACTGTAGCTGAATAAATCGTTTTTAAGCCAAATTGACAGTGCAAATTGTCATCAATTAGTGAAGCTAACATACTAAAACTAATTATTGATTAACATGTGAAATACATCATTTTATAATTGCTCCAAATACGAATGCTGTGGTTCCAAATACACGTGTACTGGTTACTTCAGCCATCGGATATAATACTGTACTGTCGTATTAAGACCACTTTCTTAACGAAGAATGGTGCAGTGCTTGGCTCATATTGCTTTGCTACTAGATAGTTCGTAGATGTCGATGTCACTAAGATTCACACATTCAGTAAGAGTTTTGTGGAATGTATTTTCTCGATAAAAATATGTAAATGGAAAAGGAGATGCCTGCTATGGTAGTTAATAGGCAGTGAAATACATATTTAGGATTTTCAACCCAATAAAATGTTGTGGATTTAATTTATTTTGTACTGAGTTATTTTTTATATGTACTGATACGTAACAAAATCGAGAGGAAACGATCGATTTCTCTTCCATTATAACATGAAATCAGTTTATTGTCTACCAGTTGAAACCATGGGTATGGACTTAGTTGTTCAGGAGTTCCCATGCTTGTGAACCGTTTAGGTGACTCTCAATAAGTATTGATCCCTCTCTGTTTTAGTTTTAGTGAAGAAGAATATTATAACTATATAACTGTAGGGTAAGGGAGCAGTATTTAGTTACTGTTGACTTTCTGCAACGCGTCCCATAAAATGAAGTTCCACCAAAAATGTATCAATCTAGATCACAAATTACTGTGGGAATTTTAACTCGCATTTTCTTCATTGTGCCAAAAATAACTATGGATAACCTCTTAAATCTTAAGGTATAGCCTTAAAATTGTAATAGGTTTGTGAGGGACGCGTATGAAACTTGAACCGTTCACAAAAATAAATGGGATTAAATACAAATATAGCCTCCTATGAGACTATGCTACAAATCAATACAGGCAAGCCTCATTGTTTAATTGGCTTGAACTCTATCCAATAGTCAATGCTAGAAATGAATGTCAAGAAGATCAGACGATTAGTTTTTTGTTATTTAAAGCTTAAGTTTACAACATGCTGTATATTTGTTCCACAAAACTTCTATTCTCATTTTAGCTAATTTTCCATATAGGGAATAACCTATTACCGTAGTACTCATGGTAAGACCTGGACCCGGGACCAATTTACTTTTTCGTTTGAGGTCCCTAGAGGCCAAAAACGCCATCCGTTCGAATTCACATTTATCATTATTTATTTATTTATTGTGTGTCCGTTAGCACTATAACTCGAGCAAAAATGATAGGATTTTGATGACATTTAGTACAAACGTGTAAACCTACATTTATTCGTACGAGTTCGCGAACCAGCATGATTGGACTATGGGAACAGTGGTTTAGAGGGGGTTTTATGGAGTTTTATGGGTTTCCAATTTTTTTACCCTGAAAACATAACATTTTGCAATTTCTTTCCGAACCATTTTGTAGAGCTAAAAAACAAATAATTTCGTATATCGAAGCGTTGTTATGCGCCTAATGGTTACGGAGAAAATTCCAAAAATTTTAAATTTTGAATCGCTTAGTTTGCAGGTTTGCTGCGTCAGGGGTACATTAACACTTAAGGCAATTTGCATGTTTATAGTTTATATTAGTGTATTGACGTTTCTGTCTACAGTTTTACTGAAATGTGTAATTACTACAATATATACCCTATGTTATTATATAAAATAACGAACAGAAGTTACATTTTTTACATTAACACCGACTGTGATCCGCATAAAAACACATCCTGTTTACTAAAGCAAGCTGCAGACAGTCAGCCAATATGGCAGTTTGACAATTATTGACGGCTTCCATATATAGAGTAGCAATAACAGCAGAGACCGGGTGTGACCGCAGTAACTATACTACCAGCAGCCAGTGTTGGTAATATCACACATAAGTATGGCTTTCATTATCAAAAGAAATTAATGAGAGGAATATCAGTAGGAAACGCACTACCACGAGCTACGACCCAATGACGATGGGTTGGTATACCTGTAGTGGTGGTTGAGCGGCTGAAGCCTGTATACAGTGTATGTAAATGTCACTTTCGCTATATCAGTACGAATCGCACCACCACGAGCTACGACGCAATGACGATGGGTTGGTATACCTGTAGTGGTGGTTGACCGGCTGAAGCCTGTATACAGTGTATGTAAATGTCACTTTCGCTATATCAGTACGAATCGCACCACCACGAGCTACGACGCAATGACGATGGGTTGGTATACCTGTAGTGGTGGTTGAGCGGCTGAAGCCTGTATACAGTGTATGTAAATGTCACTTTCGCTATATCA